ACATCCCCCGCCTCGCTATGTAGGGCAAATAAGAGCAAATTTTCAAACAGCCTTGAACAGAAACAGGTCCGATGGTGTAGTTGGTTATCACGTCAGTCTAACACACTGAAGGTCCCCAGATCGAGCCTGGGTCGGATCAAATGTTTTACCAGTTTCTTTTTCTCTTTTTTATTTCATGCTGTCAATGCTGAAAAATAAACCCTACCTTACCTGTTCTTTGACTTTTCTTTAGTGTCACTTTGTTCTTTCTCCAAGCGACTATTCCTTCTGTTGTGCTCCAAGTCAAGTGCCTGGTCCAATTCAAACTAAGCATGAGTGGCATTGTCGTTGTGACGTTGCTCGACTATCTCGCTTGTGTCCTGTTATACCGCGTATCTGACACGGAGAAATGAGATGGCATGTGAAAGCCGGCTTCTACGCGACCAGGGGTAAATCATCATCATTTCTTCCAATTGAACCATGATCAAGTTACCAATAGTCCATGCAGGTTCGTATAGTTCACAGCATCAAGCAAGGAGTGTGGGCTACCCGGCTGTGACTACTCCGGTGAAGAGTACGGTTGGAAGATGTGATCCTGCCTCTGATATGTGTGCCACCCCAGTTTCTCTGACAATCCTGATCGATGTAGGGTAGCTTTGTATCATGATGGATGCCTGGTTTGTTCAGTTTTCTGGAAAGGCGATTTCAACATAATCTCATATAGCTTCGCTTCGATCCTCTGCTGACCAAAGGCGTCTACAGTCTTTCCAATGGGTGGAAAGAAGGATCTTCTAGCTTTTGTGTTCAGTCTACGTCTCGTTCTGATGAAGCCACTGCGCTCACTGTTACATATTTTCTTGGTTTTCTCTCTTTTTCCTTGTCATTCTCGTCACTTTGAATTTATGTTTGTTTCTCTTTATCAACAATGCGGTTTGAGTCTGTCAACCTGAGAAGTCAAACTCTAAGACCTAGAATCTATTTTGCTGCATCAGGCTTGATAACAGCTCAGCTTTGCTCGAGAACACTCCTTGTGAGTTCGATTGTCTTCAAGTCTATAAAGGGCGGGCTCTATTTCTTCTAGTATGTGAGATCGCAATAAGGAGCGACATATCGTAATGGCTTAAGAACCCCGAAAGATTTTACCGTCCTCCCTGATCTAAACCTGACTTGATTGACGCCGATACCTGACTGCCTGGAAGGTTTTGCTGCAGAGTTTGATCGATTTCCTTCGGACTGTACAACTAACTTACCACACGCGTCTTACAAAAATCCTTCAGAGCTACTCTGATGTATCTTTGATAGATGTTACCCTTGGCTAGCTTGGAAATTGGCTCTTCTTGACTGCCAATTCAATATGGCTCTACCACTGTAAAGCACGCAAGTGGGGGTCACACAATGCATAGCTTTCTTACGACGCCGACGATTCTCTTGACGACATGGTAAATCAAGGCAAGTAATAATCTTGTCACAATATCGAATGGACAGGGGGTCTCGATTTTGTCTGATGCTGGTGTAAGTTACCCCCCCTTCCCCCCCTCCCTCCTCCCTCTAAAATGTGTTTACCCACGGCACTGTGGGCTATTCTGCTCTCTAAGCTAGAGGGCGCAGGTTTATGCCATCCATGATGTTATGACCATCTTGGCCACGCGTTTATCCGGCACATATGCCTTCTAAGTTCTGCCTTGGGCGTGGGAGGAGTGGTGTGGAAAACCTCACGGTATTTGGAGTGGTCTTCTGCATTTTAACCCCTCCTGGAATGCAAACAGCTTAACAACTCGCTTCGCTCCTCCTGGAGTACTTCGGTCCTTTTTGCCTATAGCATGACCCTGGCCCAAAAAAATACACAAGAAAAAAAAACATACAACACCTGGGATTCGCTGGTCGTCACCGACCCAACTACTAGTCAGGCGATTGGTAGCTTATCTATGGGAGAGCGGACGGGATCCCGAGTTTTCTACCATCTGTGGTCGTATGTATTAGCTTTGGTTGTTTGATGAGGCTATACCCTCAGCGTTGCTTACCCGTTTGATGTTGGTCTGCTCCATCTTCTACTACTTTTTCGATAGTATGCTGTATATTCCCTCCCATCTCTGATAATGTCATGATCGTGAATGACGTGACATAAACGGTTATCGGTAAATGTGATTTGTTCGCGGATCTTTTCCGATGCCATCACCTTCCAAAATGCTTCGGGCTTGTAACGATAACGGGAGGTAACGGTTGATACGAATTTCAATTCAGGAATCTCCTCCTTTGCTGTCTCCTTTCTTTTTTTCTTCTTTCTTTCTTTCCTTTAAGGCTGGGCAGCCGCCTTGTCTTTCTCCTCCTTCTCCTTAGCCTTCTGAGCCTTCTTGGCCTCTATTTGCTTCTGCTTCTCGAGCTTCTTGAGCTGGTTCTTGGTCAACTTTCCATCTCCGCCCTCAGCGGCCGCCTCCCCATCAGCGTTTTGCACCTGAGGCACCACAACAGGGGCGCGCGGGTTTCCATTCCACTTAAGAGGGCGTGTCGTCATGAAAAGCTTGACAGCCTCGTCGTCGACCTTGGCTCTCCTTTCCTGGAAAGCGGCGACATATGTTTGAAGCTCCTTGATGCAGATTGCTTTGAGATCACCAGTCAACATTTCACCAGATTCGTAGGCGACGCGAATCTTCTCCAGCTCCTCGTCATCTTCAAGGAAGAAGCGCAAGTACTGGTAGGCAACGTCGACGTTAGTGTCACCTCCTTTCTCGCGGTGCTCCTCAACGGTGACCTTTCCACCCGAGAAGGCATATTTGTTGATTTTGTTCTTGATTTGATTGGGGGTATCTCTCATGAAAACTGTTTTGAAGGGTCAGCAACAGGTCCGGATAGAACACCGCAACAAGCCACGTGGTAGGTCCAGTCATGGTCTGCGCCTGCAGCAGTAGGGACAATGACTTACTAGCAGACTCGTCGACAGAAGCGGACATCTATACACATGTCAATTAATGCCAAGATCAATTTTAGACAAAGGGACAAACTTCCAGTACGTACCTTTGTGCCGGGGCCCTGCAGAGCATCAAGGAAACGGGAGTGGATGAGGGCCGGCTTCGCGTACGAGATGTTGGAGTTCTTGTACTTCAAACGAGCGGAGACATCTCTAGTCATTCTGAAGTAGGGATCCTGATCAATGGCGCAGGGAATGAGACAGGGAATGGCGACGGTCTTGGATTCATCTTCGCCGAAGATGTGGGGGAAGGACGACGCCCAACTGCTGGCACCCTGGATACTGCCGAAGTGAATGCGACCAATGTTGGTGCTGTCGTTGAAGCCGAAGATGGCGCGGGCCTGGTTAAGAGTGATGTGCTTGGACAGGCGCACAACGTTCTTGTAGAAGGCGCCGCCCATATACTGGAAATCGCTGAAGATGAAAGTCTTGTTGGGATCGAAGCCGACGGCGATGATGTCCTTGGCGTTGTTGCTGCAGTAGCCCTCAACCTCCTCAATCGTTCTCTTGTCGGAAAAGAGATACTTTTCGTCGTCGGTCATCATGATGACCAGAGGAACATCAAAGGTATCTTGAAGCCATTTTGTGAACTCGAAGGGAATGGTGTGGCCAACGTGGACACTGTCGGAGGAAGGGCCGCGGCCGGTATAGAGGTAAAAGGGCTCGCCCTTCTCATAGCGGTCGAGGATAAGCTCAAGATCGCGGTGGGAGAAGACAATGCCTCTCCTGAGGAAGCGATGGGGCTTCTTGCCGGTGACCCTCTCGAGGCGATCGAGCAGGGCCTGGTCGATCTTCTTGGTGCCGAACTCCTCGATCAACTTGTTGTAATCGATGGCTTTGACAACGCCATCCTCGCCCACTTCGCCTTGGACCTGTTCGCGACGGAAGAGAGGCAGTCAGACCAATGCGCCGTACATATGCAAAGTACACAGACCTAACCAGAACTGACATTGTATGGGTCCACTGTCTGCTTGGAGGCAGCGTGCTTCTCGATCGCATCGGGGATGGGCGACTCCTTGAGCGCCTCGGCGTTGACGTTGGTCGCCATGTTGAAAGATGTCTGCTGAGTGCTGGTGGCAATCCGGGAGGGTTGTCGAAAAGTCCTTCAAAAGGGAGCCTCTTTGGCTGACAGTGACTCAAGTGCGATACGGCTCGAACGGGTGGCTCGTCCAGGGGAACGAATTGCGACGACACCTCAGACGGCGGAACAGGCACACACGCTGCGGGGGGAGGGGCTGCAATGGAAAGCCATTCATCGCTTTCTGCCGGGATGTGGAGGATCCAGACTGACATCAGATTGTTTCCGGCAGGCGGCTTCTTACGGCAAAATACAACAAATTTCCGGCAGGCAATACATAATGTATGGGGGGAAAGACCCGCGCTGCGTAACGATCAATTGACCTAAGGAATTTGGGAACCCCTCCGTCCGCAAAGTGGGAGGAGCAGTTCCCACCGAGATTGACATCGATCCGACCTTGACATTAACCCGGCCAGCTTTGGAAGCTATCTGAATGTCGCAAAGGTTTTCCGCCTGTCTGCAACCATGTTGGCGGCACCGTGGTTATGTCGGAGTTGCGCCCATTCGTTAAGGCGCTCGGGTGTCTTCGTCTCTCTTCAGCTTCGCAAAGCTAGCACAGGTGTGTACGCAGCATCCCAAGTGGAAGCATTTTTTCCTCCAGATTCTGATCGCAAGCCGTGGAATCCAATCTGCCGAGGGACACCTTCTGACGCGTCTCTTGTTGAAGCCAGCCAACCACTCGCAGGACTCCCACCTGTCCTCCTCGACCGAGCGCGAAAACTAGCCGCTGAGCACAAGCAATTGACGAAGCAACTCGAGAGCGAGTACGAGCCTACAGCCGCGAAGCGCGCCGGCGAAATCTCAAAAGTTGTCGCTGCCCTACAAGAGCTGGACAAGGCCAAGTCAGCACTGGATGAGCTCAATGGATCAAGATCTCCATCAGCATTTCGTTGGCCAATGTGCCTGTCAGGAATATGGAACCTTTTGACCAAGCCGTCGTCTCCCGCCGTGCAGATCTCTGGCTC